TCCTGGCCACTGTAAGGTATCTGGTCCCACAGGCAAGCATCCACAGCCCAGCACTGCTTCTCAGACAGGTCCCACCACTCTTGCTACTCTGAGCCCTGGAACCAGAGCACTCCTAGACTGCTCTGCTGTGAAAGCCGGCACTGTGGGTTCTTTCAACCAGAGGTGCACAAGAAGGGCCACAGACCCTAAGCTTTCAGGAATAACATGTACACCTTCCCACTCATTCCCAGCGAGGGACCTGCAAGAAATCCACAGAGGGACCTGCCACCCAAGAAAATGTGAAACATGGCTCAGAGGAAGGAATGATGGAGGTGCTTCTCCTGGGAGAGCCATTCATTTGGTGCACATCAGCAATACTTATTTACTGAACATCTACTGTATACCCCTACCACTGCATCAGACATGGTTGAGGATTCAGAAAGCTTCACTATTAACTGTATTCTGAAGATGCTCGAGAGGATAAAGATGTGCATATAAATAACAAAAAATATAGGGTATTTTATGCGCAAAATGACACAAAAAAGGTTCAGATTCTTTGGATCAGTTTCAGGAAAGGCCTCATGGAAGAAACGTAATCTGAGATTATTTTTGAGCAGCTGTAAGGAGAGTGACAGTAAAGAATGGATGGTAGAGGCTGGGCGCGGTGACTCACATCTGTAATCCTAGCACTTTGGGAGGCCAAGGTGGGTAAATCACTGGAGTCCAGGAGTTTGAGATCAGCCTGGGCAACATGGTGAAACCCAATCTCTACAAAAAATACAAAAATTAGTCAGGTGTGGTGGCATTTGCCCACAGTCCCAGCTACTCAGGTGGTTGAGATAGGAGGATTGTTTGAGTCCCAGAGAAAGAGGTTGCAGTGAGCCAAGATCGTGCCACTGCACCCCAGTGAGCCAAGATCGCACCACTGCACTCCAGCCTGGGCAACCCCTGTCTCAAAAAAATAAAAGAAAGGGCAGTATGAAAGAAGAGATGTTTCAAATGGAGAAGCCAGGGGGTGGACAAGTAGGGGAAGGAAGAATGTTTAGGAACGTTTGTGGACAAATGGATGGGGCTGTAAAGGAGAGGAGTGGAGACAAAACCCAACAAAGCTGAACCAGACCAAGCTGGACCTGGCCACACGCTGGACTTTCCCCCTTGGGCAATGGGTAGCCACTGAGGCCTCAGGATCACTTCTCTAGCAAAAGTCACTTGACAGTGGAATTTGCAGGCCTTTATAGGCAAAATGTCAACAGGCTCAAAACCCAACCTCAATGAGACGAGAAGACGAGCAGGAAAAGGGTCACAGACAGTGAAACTTTTGGTTCAGTTTAAAAAGCACCTGGTGGCCAGGCGCCATGGCTCACACCTGTCATCCCAGCACTTTGGGAGGCCAAGGCGGGCAGATCACGAGGTCAGGAGATCGAGACCATCTTCACTAATATGGTGAAACCCCGTCTCTACTAAAAATTAGCCAGCGTGGTGGAGCGCACCTGTAGTCCCAGCTACTCAGGAGGATGAGGCAGGAGAAAGGCATGAACCCCAGAGGCAGAGCTTGCAGTGAGCCGAGATTGTGCCACTGCACTCCAGTCTGGGTGACAGAGCCTCAAAAAAAAAAATAAATAAATAAATAAAAATAAATAAAAAGCACCTGGTACATCAGGCACTTTGCTAGATAAGGGGATAGAGAGGCATGGGCCATGGGCCTTGGCCTCCAGGCACTTAGTGCTGGTTTAGAGATGGTTTAGAGGTAAGGGCAGCCATCAGTAGAGATCAAGGAAGGTCTGACTTGGCAGATGAAGATCCCCATTCAGGACATTTTTAATTTCAAGCAGTTCCACATTCCAGAGAAGTAAGAGGTGACATCGGGAGGAAGAGTACCAGGAGCAGATTACACAGACTCGAAACTGTTCAGCCATGTCAGTTTGCTTATAAGAAATTGAATGACATGAAATAAAGCATTTTTCTTCACAGCGAAGTATGATATTGTAATCATCCCCACTCTGACACTTGATACAGAGGCATTCCCCTCCTCTGTGCTAAAAAAATAAAATAAAATCAATGGTATTTGCTTTCAGTAAATGGAACTGAGAAAATACTGCTACTGACTAAACTAGGAGGGATATTACTGTGGGAACTGAGTTGCACCGTTTCCATGACTCCAGCCTCCACTAGTCCCTGCAAGTCCATAAACGAAAGCTGCATAGAAACTTGAGTGTTTATACTTAAAAAAATAATAATAATAAAGATCAAAAACGATCCCTGGGAAAACTTTTCCCCCCCATGGTAGTCTCCAAATCCCAAAACTAGCTAAGTTACATACCATCCAGAACAAAGACGCACTGGATCAATGGGGATGGCCACATTTCTTACCCAACAAAAGTCATAATTTTACTTGGTAACCGGTAACAGGCAGAAACCCCACACATAAAGCTGGCCCTGAATCTCACTCTAACACTCAACATGCACCTTTCCCATGGAGCTATCAGGCAAAGAAGACCAGTAGCTTCCAGAGACATGCAGCCTTGCAACTCATTTCAGCGTCTGCCCTTTGATTTTACCATTCACATTAAATGAAAGGTATTTACTACAGATGAAAAATAAGCTTCGTTCAGCTGCCTCTAAACCAATCCCAAAAATAGAGCAATCACTCTGGTACAAATTGGGTCAAATGTATTAAAAAAAAGAAAAAAAAAAACCCAGCTCCCTCATGGGAGGACCAACATGGCATGGGACCTTGCTTAGAGTCAGAAGGAAATCCACAAAGATCTTCCTTCCCACAGTGGGAAAGGAAGTATTTAAAGAGTCAAGCAGAGTATAAACTCATCTGGGCATGTGACCATCCAAGTGAAAGCAAGACACAAAGTTGAATGCCGTGAGTTTCAGAATATTATGTGAAGAGGCCAAAGAAATATACTTTGGCTTTTAGAAAGGCCCGCCAAATTAACACACTGCCAAATCCCTCTAAAAAAAAAAAAAAAAAAAAAAAGTCCAATGCTCAAGAATTGTCAAGAAAGGATCCACTGGAGAGGGGGTGCAAAAGGGAGAGATTAATCCATTTCCTGTATTTTATTTCCTCACTTCTTAGCTGAGAAATCCAAATGGTCTCACAGCGCTTATATCAGTGCCCTGAATTTCCCTGGGAAAAATTCAGAATATTAATTGGCTTACACATGCAGCTACATTAATTATTCCATTGATCTGAATTAATCTGCCTTTCTGAAAGGTATTTATTTTCTAAGTTTGTTTAATCATGTTCTCTTGAGCTACAAAAAGCAACAATCTGGGTCACCATCCATGTCGTTAAATTTGGTAACAAGGCTAACACCATCTGTGGCCTAGACTACGATGATCTATCTCCATTGATGGGAGGCTTTCCACCACTTCTGCTTGTCCTTTAAAACAACCATCTAAAGTCACATGTCTACAAACAAATCAAAAGCTACGTAAAATGTCCAGAGTTACGCAGACGATCTCTGGCATTGTCCAAATATATACTACCAGTGTTTATGTGGTTATCCAACTCCCATTTATAATTGTATTTGCAGCATCAATTCCCAAAATTTTTAGAAAATTCTCTAGATATCAAACTACTAAAGCCCACATACAAATAGACATCACATTACATCTGAAATGTGCCACAACATTTTAAATGTAACATGAAATCCTGTACATAAATCGTTAAGGCTTATTCACAAGAGCATAATTTCACTATCTCCAGAAGCCAGCAGAGCTCTCCCACACAAGGGAGAGCCTAGTGTGTTTGCCTTTACAACACTCGCTCAGTTAGGAACATCCAGCCCTGCTAAAATAGAGCTTCAACATGAGAAGCCAAAAACAAACGGAACCAGCTAAGAGAAGAGAAGAAAAACAATTGAGTTTCCTGTTATCCGACATGGGCTCCCCTTCATCTCCCATTCTGCACAGCTTCTGATTGCAAAGAATCAATCCTTGCAAGAAGGATGCTGCAGCACCAGAAAAATCCTGAAATGGCTTCTGAATCATCAAAGAAAGATTGCAGAATGTCAGAGGTAAAAACGATCCTAGCAATCTTCTTACCCAATCCTCCTAATTGCCAGGTGGCTGCACGGCAATGCAGAAAGGTATAAGAAATGATCCCAAATACAGCTAGTTGACAGGTGAGTGGGACAAGATCTTAGTCCCAGTCTAGTACTCGTTAGTGCTTTTTTAAAAACTATATCAACCTTTCCCAAAGGAAGTTCCATGGATCACTGGTTCCATGATGTTAAACTCTTTTGCAAAAAAAAAAAAAAAAATGTTTAAAGAATTCACAACTGATTACTTTTAGGGACTAGCTGATTTAAACAAAAGGAAACCTGTTTTTTAACTGCAGAACTTCCCAAAGCTTTTACTAAGCTAACGTGCACTACAAATCTTTAAGAAGGCAGCAAAGTATATGGAAGCATCCTGATTTATTTAACCATACAATCATTTTCTCTTGGGGCATTTCATAGGATGTGGAGTAGAAACTTTAATATTATATCATGTATTCAATAATATCATGTATTGTTCTCCAAATTATGCTCTATGTAGATGTATTAGTTTTGTTATATTCCACTTCTCTAAAAACAGTTCATGTACAAAGTCTACGATAATTCTCTACTTACCAGAACAACTGACCAAAGTACCCACCATTCCCAAGAACACTAGATTTAAAAAAAAGAAGAAAAAGAAAAAGAAAAAAGCTAACATTATCAGGAAAAGAATGGTAGCAAAAACTTATGTGGAGAGAACAGTTATTTTAAAATCTGCTACAAATCTCTTCCATAAAATTCCGTATCTATGAAAGATTCATGACTTTAAATACTTTCATTCAGTATAAATTTGAGAACACAGTTTAAAACAAACAAACAAACAAACAAAAAACCACTGTTGCAAAGCTCCAAGAAACACGACATGCATGGCTGTAAACTTCAACTACCCAGAAGGCCAGCTGCTAGTTTAAGTAGAGAACCAAATGATAGCCATATACCAGGACCAGCAGGAACTCTAAGGACACTTACCAAGTTATGATTTGTTGAATTAGAATCATCTTCAGGGAATGGGATGTAAATAGCTAAGGCCACACAATTGGCAAAAATAGCCAATAATATAAATATGTCAAATGGTCTGAAAAAATGTGTTAAGGTATATATGTGTTATGGAAACATAAACCATGTCCCTCATCACACTCCCAATCACACCACTTTCCAAGCACCTTTAAAATGAAAATGATATACACAAATCCTATTTCGGCTGACTGCTGTGACTGCTAGGTTTTCGGCAGAAGTAATCATTGGTGGTCATCTCACAGTGGAGCCTCCTATCAAATGACCTCTCCGTGTCCTTTTCTTCTGTTGCAAGGATCATGTTACACTCATTCTTCTCCTGCACACTGTATGCTAAAACCTAAAAGTACATCCAATTAGGGCACTGTGTGAACCAGGTTTCTGCTTCTTACAGGTTTAAAAGCAACAAGAGCCTTACTAAGTTCCCGGCTGTGGCAGACACAGAGAAATCATGGGATAAATGTCTTCCGCAGATCCTAGCCTCCATGTGTTACAGCCATTTTCTCAGGGGCTATTTATTTTTGGCAGGGTTGGCCTAAATCGCCTGTCTGGATTGGGCCAGGCCAAGCCACCAGGACCTTCTCCATTCTACCTGTGACTTTCTCATGGCATATTCCAATACCTCAGATGTGATCAGCAGTGAGCCAGGCTTCAGCTCCCGCCTCTGCTTTCTCTGCTAGAGGAATCGATGGCTATAACTGTTTCAGATTAGAGCTGGACTGGAGCTTAGTTTATCATATGCTGTTACTGTGCTCAATTTGTAAACAAATTAAATTAAAAAGCCGTAAGAAATCAGCCCCAGACACATTCAAAGTAGGCTTTAACATTTCTCAATCTTGGTGGTCTGTCTGGAAGAATCACTTTGAGATCAGCCTTCAAGAGATACTTGCCTAAACATTCTGGTGTCATTAAGAGACACTGTCAAAACTGGCAATACAAAATTTGACATCTGCCAAAATGACTGTTTTTCTTCTTTGGGTTTTCAGCCTTTCCAAATGCAAGGTTTCGTGAGCACCAGCCTCACCTGCAATGCCTGGGTGTGATTTTACCACAGTGCTTCGCCTATACACTCACCCACAAGAAGCAAGGCCACGGTTTAACTAAGTACTTCAAGGTACTTAAAACTGGAGGATACAAACAGACTATTCTCCATTCACCCTGACATACTTCTGGGAAATCCAAAAATGCCACAGGAAACAAATGCTCTTTACCTCTCTACAAATATCTTTTTTTTTTTTTTTTTTTTGAGATGGGGTCTCACTGTCACCAAGGCTGGAGTGCACCGGCACAATCTCAGCTTGCTGAAACCTCCGCCTCCCAGGCTCAAGCCATCCTCCCACCTCAGCCTCCCAAGTAGCTGGAACTACAGGCATGTGCCACCATGCTGGATTTTTTTTTTTTTTTTTTAGTAGAGACAGGGGTTTTGCCATGTTGCCCAGGCTGGTCTCGAACTCCTGGACTCAAGCAATCTGCTTACTCCTGGACTCCAGCAATCTGCTCACCTCTGCCTCCCAAAGTGTTGGAATGACAGGCGTGAGCCACCATGCCCGGCCTCTGGAGAGATCTTGAGTTTCATAAAACCTTCATCTTCGAAGAGCTTTCATAACTCATCAAAAAAAGGCAATGAATAACATTATTCCCTGACTAATTTTGATGGGTTCATTTTTTTAAGCCAGTCAGCTTTAATTCACATTGTTTCTCTTAACTCATCTAATATTATAAAATCTTTTTCACCCAGGGATCCAACTTTCAGACAGACCACCGTAAGACTTCAGAATTCCCTTTCCATTTTTCCTTTTCGCAGGTCCCCACTGAAATCTAAAGTCAAGGGCCCCAATGTTGTTCTCTATAGAAACACAATAGTCTCTTCCCTCCCTCTTTCTTCCATTCTTCCTTTTCAGTTTCCCAATACCTAAGTAATAGGTATTCTTCCTTTTCAATTTCCCATTACCCAAATGATAAACCAGCACATCTGAGAAATACTAACACTGTTTAGGGAGACTAAATATAAGTTGTATTTTTTTCTTTATGCTGGTCCAGTTTTAGTCTCTAGGTGCAAGTGGATACCATCTCACTGCCATCAGATATTCACAAGTGAAGCAGAACAAAGCAATAGAGAAATAGATGGGTCTGATCCCAACAATTCCTTCTGATAAGGAGAACATCCCTCACTCCTCCAGGGGGCAGGACACTCTGTCATGCCTGTGTGTAAAAACAAACCACCCTTGCTCTCCCACTGGGACGGGGCCTGACAGAGCCGCCCTGGATGGAAAGGATTCCTATAGCCTGCTCCCTGAATTAGAAGGAAACTATCATTAAAAAAAAAATATATATATATATATATATATCACTTAAGGATCTATCTATTTTACAAACTGTCCCATTTGTAAACAGACTCTCCCTGAATTGGCAGCCACATCCCCTAATTCCTGTACACATGTGTCTGGCAACTGGGAAAGGGAGACAGCAGTGTGATCCAGGAATTCACTCTGTATGCAAAAATTGCTATGTACACATTACTGTGCACAAAGAGAAACAGCATTAGGCCTCCCACCTACTCCACACAAAAGTAGTGACCCCACAAAGAGGTCTCTGCTTCCTCAGAGTCATGTCAAGACAATCCGAGGAGGAGGAGATATTCCTGGCAAGGTACAGCCATTGTCATGACTCTAGCAATGCCACTGGCCCACATGCTGGCTTACCGAGCTCCCTCCTCGTTCTCAGACTAGAGAACTTCAAGAGAAAATGCACACACACAACCCCAGTTATGTGAGAGACACCATAACTCACTTTAGAGAAGGGACATCTGTTGCAAAATGAAAAAGCACACGAGAACCCCTCAAATCCTACCCTAGCATTTGACTACTCTCTCCAGAATCTTTCTAGACAGTTACCTCATTTTAACTCCTGCCCATTAGCAGAGAAAATAGCCAACTAAAGACAGAGGGCATGCAAATAGCTGCCGAGCTGGATCCTCAAATTATAAGGGGATTTCAGCTCCACTTTCTAGATGGCTGCCAACATGCTCCCCTTTTGGCGTGGCCCCTGCATCCTTCTAGGCCTGGTGGTGGGAATTCCTATATTGACACCCCTTCCTGTAGTTACGAACTGCTCTAAGGCCCCTGTAAGTTCCAAACACACTTCTGGGGAAAGGAAATACTTTATTTTACCCAGACCAATGAATCATCTGCCTAATTAAAAAGCCATTTGCTCAGAAAGAAGGCCTCAGTCAACCTTCTCTAAAGAGTGGCAGTAACTGGAGGTTGGCCTCCAGATTTAGGGAAGGGGTTAAGCAGGCTGAAGCACAATCGTTTTCCAAGATCTGGGACATGACAGCCATTCTGGGGCATTTGGAGTTCAATTTTAAAAATACAAAGGAGACACCCAGAAATGTAACTCCAGTCCAAGGACATAGACAGAATTTTTTATAAAGACAGCAACTGCAAATTCCTCCACTGAGAGGGCTGTTCTATAACTCATAAGGGCTCAGGAGGAAGAGGCACACACGAACCTCTCCCTTCACTGGCTCCCTCACGCTCATGCTCCAAATGTTTCTTTGGAACTTGTCAAAAGGAAATTCCAGGAAGTTATAGCATTGATCAGAAAAAAAAAATCAAAAGTAATCTCTCCCTAGGAAGCATGTGCTCATATCTGTAGCTACCTGAATAATTAGAATCACCAAATGTCAGACTAGAAGCAACCTTAGCATTAACTGTAGTTGCAGAAGCAAATTTCAAACATCAGAATGAGAAGATTCTACTAAAGGTCAAAAATGTATTCCCTTCAAGTAGAGTCTCATACAGTTTTTTTTTCTAATGTGTATACCTTGTTTGCAATAGGTTCAATGCATGCTATTGCCCAAAACAACACTGAATTTAAAACTAACCATCTAATGTCCAATGACCAAAAGTTGGTTTCACATTTTAATTATCTACCACTGCGAAGTTTCAGGCTGTCACTCCCTCCCCCCACTGCTACTACTATACACACACCCAGACAGTGGGCTAAATATACCCATACAGCCACCCCTCTGCAACCCGAGGAGACAGGAAGGTATATACAATGAAACCCCTTATATACAACTTCTGTTACTCGCATTCCAGACTGCTACAGCTTTGTGTCACTTCAGAAAGCAAATCCTTTTAAAAAACAGATGGTAAAAGAGAAAATGAGAAAGACTTCCCCCAAAAAAAGGATACTTCCATTCCACTATACTAATGCAGGCTCTTCGGATGGGGTTATTGAGTGATAAACAGAAAAGGGCGCGGGCAGGTCGGCTGTTGGACGAGTTACCCTGTTTTTTGCTCTTGGCGTATTGCTGACGTTTTCTTTGGGAGAGAGATCCTACAGGTCGGGGTGCAGAGGTGCTCATAGTTTGGGCAGCCTTGGCCTGTCTAGCAGCATCGATTGCAGCTTGCCAAGACAGGACAGTTTGCTTGGAGCTATTCGGCTGAGAAGTTGGTCCTTCACCAGAAAGAGGGAGTCTGGTGCCTCTTGCATAGTTTGCCTCTGGGGAGAAGGAGAAAAACAAAGATTTTTTTTTAAATGAGGATCCAATGTGTAGGAGAAAAAAAAAAAAAATCAAAGGTTGTCTCCCATCAATAACAGGGAAATTATTCATTCCTATATTTCCATTTTGAATCTCTTGTCCTATTTTTCACAAGCTGGGGTTTAGTCAGCTAGAGAGGCAAGAAAAGTCCACGAGCTCTGGTCTCAGTGTCAATCACACAGGATCACTGCTGCATCACACCCAGTGGGGTTAGTTCTCCTTCACATCATGTCTTCACAAAGGGTCTTTTAGTGCATTTCTTCTGACAAAACTGAGGTCATTCCCGCATTTAATCCACATCTCTGATTTGTAAAACCCATCTATGTCTAATGAGTTAACAGATACATACAACAGCTTTTCTCTAACGTAACTACCACATTCACCAAGAAAAAAAAAAGGCAGTACCAATAATTCAATAGTCTTAATCATTTTCAGAGTGTTACTCCAACATCTTTCCACAGCCACAAATGCATTTTTCTTTTTCAGTACGGAAAAGAAATCTTCCATAGGCACCCAGGCAATACCAAAAACCCCATAACAAATATCTAGATTATGCACTGACACTTCCTGCAAATGAAAATTCATGATGCTTGGGACTCATTTCCTCCACAGGCTTCCGAAAACAGAAAACATCTTTAGGGCTTTTTTGCATTTTAAATTGCAGCAGCATCAGCCAAGCCAGCATCCAGAGAGACAGACAAGGCAGTCAGCCTGCACCTCTACACCTAGGATAGACTGACTAGATTATGCCAGGGGCCTCCAGGCCTAAGAGGGAATTATCTCCGTGTAGGTTGGCATCCAGGTGTACACAAGGCAGAAACCCAAGGAGGCTCCCTATGCGAAGCCCCCGCCAGCTTTGGGTCAGGCCACCTCCCAGGCAGATCTCCCAGGCACCTGCCGCCTTCCGCCACAGTCTCCTCACTGAAGCAGAAGTCAAAGTGAGAGAGATGGCAGAAAGGTAGAGGGATGGGCGTTTGTAAAGCCAATTATTGCTAAGTAAAGAGTCAAAGCAAGCATGGGTCTGAAAGCCTGAGAAGGGGCCAAAGCGGGCGAGCAGCGGGCAATCGGAACGGGGATTGTCAAGCTTCTCCCCAGGGGGGTTGGGGGGCACTGGCGGTCTCCAAAGGGGAGGGCTGGCCAAGAGCTGCTCCATCCTCCCTCGACCCAGCTCGGCCGGCGTGGAAGCTGCACGTGGTGCCCGGGCCAGAGCTGGGGAGGGGAGCCCCACAGCGGCAGCGGCTCCCCGGGCATTGCTAGGTTACCGACGTGTGCACAGCCGGCGACGGGAGCGGGAACGCACGCTCCACCCGAGCCCCTTCCCCCGACACCGAGGCCGGGCCTCCCCCGCGAGGGGAGGGATGTGCTTCACCCACCGGCACGGAGGGCGAAACCGGGCAATCCTAGAATTTTCCGGATGCCACCAGGGACCTTCTTCCTAGTCAACGAGGGGGCGGGGGAGGAGTGGAAGGCGAGAAGAGGCTGGCAAGGGGGCTCCGGCTGAAGACTTGCGGCCCCCCTGCCATCGCTCGGGGGCGTTGAAGGAAAGTTGAGCCCGAGGACACTGTACCCGAATCACCCCGACTCGCTGCCCCTCCGGCTGCACCGCGCTCCACACACTCCACGGCCGCCCCCACCCCACAAATGCAGAATTAACTCTGACATTCAGGGCCTGGAGGGGAGCGCGGAGTGGCTGTCACGCATGTCCCCTCTCTGTGTAGACGACACCGAGCTGGCAGCACCCTCTCCAACCCCTTCAACCCACCCAGCGCCGCGGGGAAGGGGGAGGGGGCTGGAGGACTATGACAGGATCGGATTTGGCAGCGGGTGCCCGGGCTCTGGCTGCTCACCGTTCGCGTGGTCCGCTTGCTGCTGCCGTTGATGCTGCATTTTTTTCATCATCATCATCATCATCATCCACGAACATTTATTGAGCGACTACTGTGTGCAGGGCACTGTGCTGGGCTTTGGGGCGGGGGCGGAATGGGGAAGGGGATCACCAATAGGTAGGAGCCGCGGTCCCTGCCCTTATTCTTGCTTCAGCAGGGGGTGGGGAGGGACGGGGACAAATAACAGAAAATAAGGATAATTGATTAAAAAAAAAAAACCGCTCGCCGCCCAAGCTCTTTTTCAAAAATGGAGCAAAATAAACTTTTTAAAAAAATAAAATCCGATGTATATATTATCTTAATAATATATACATGTAATTTTTTGCTGCAAAGGAGAACTGGCTTGTCCCCTCCTCTAGCGGAGAGACGCCGCGGTGATGCCGGCCCGGCCGCCGGGGCCGCTCGGCGCGCCCCCCATGCCCGCCCGTCCGCCCGCCCGCCCGCCGCGGTGCCCAGTGCCCGCCGCCGCCGCCCGCGCCGCCGCTGGCTCGGGACCGCGGGCAGCCGGAGCTCACATCCGGGGACGGAGGCGCTCGCCCGCCCGCCCGCTCGCTCCGCGCCCGCCGCGCCGCGCCGCACGCCGGCTTCGCCCTGGCGACGCTGCGCGCCCGCCGCCGTCCCCCGCCCCCCGCCCGCCCCGAGCCGCCCACGGCCCGCGCCGCGCCCCGGCGGGTCGGCAGCCCGGCGCGTGGTTCTGCCCGGCACCGCCTGCGCGCTCGGGGTGGCCGCCGCGTGGGACTCGGGGTGCCGCCACCCCGGCCTGGTCCGGCTGACCTGCGGGCTCCAAAGGGTTAAGCGCGCTCCAGCCGCGGACTGCCCGGTTAACCCCCTCCGCGCCGCACGGTGCGCTCTCCCCTCGGGACCCGGAGGAGGCGGGCGGCGCCAGTGGCTCGCGAGGCGCTGGGGTGCGGATGAACCGCTCCTCCCCGCGCATTTCTGGGCTGGGGGAAAAGCTCGGGCTCCAGCGCCCGCCCTGACTCCGCGCCGGCCTCCCTCTGAGCACACCTGGAGGAGGCCCCGCCCCCTGGGAGCACAGGTGCTAGCGGGCGGTAGGGGCTGCGGTCTCCGAGCGCACCCTCGTCACGGCTCGGTCGGGCTCCCTGGCTGCTCCGGAGCGGGGCAGGCGCCCCCTCCTTTCCTCGGGCCCTTTCTGGAATCGGGGGGATGGGGTAGCCCGGCTCTGTAGAGAGCACTCACTGCCCCAGGTAACTGCCTGCGGCTGGAACCGCGAATCCAGGGCGCCCCCCATCTTCTCCGCTGCCCTGCGCCTGGCCTGGCGTCGCGGAGGGCAGCGGGGATGGGGGGCAATATCTCCCCCCACCCCAACCCGCCCCCATGTGTGTTTGGAGGCAGGTACAGGAAAGTCAAAGCCAAGGTCTTTCAAACCGCTTGTGTTGCTGAAGGAAATAGACGGTGCTGCTGAAACTTGCCTCCAGTCTGGGGAGCTGAAGGGAATAGTTTGTTTTTTGATACCTTCGCTGGCTCGGATTTAGGGTGGGGGAGGTTTGCAAACGGCAGCTCCTGTCTAGAGGGGAAATACTTTATCTAGTGGATGACTGATATTTTTCATTTAGCTTTGTGCTGGGTGTTAGGAGAAGGGTGTCTGCTTTGTTACTTCACAGGATTCGATTTATTTGCTTTTGTTCCGATCTGCATGTTCCTACGGCGTTTTAGAACGTTTCAGAACAGTGACTTTAAAGCAAAAATAAAGTAAAAACTCAGCGTGAATTAAGAAAAATAAGTGTTTATGGGAAGGTGCTCCTTACCCAGAGGACACACTAGTCATCCTCAATTGTTGGGGGGCACCTGGGCAGAGAGACTGGGGACCAGATAGAAGACTCTCCAGGGGCCTTCCTGAGGGGGTGTCTGGTCCGTGAGGTGAAAACAACCAGGCTCTTGTCCTTTTTTATGCTTTGTTTTTGGAGACTGGCGAGGGGAGAAATCGCCCTATGGTCTAATAACAATATAAAGCTGGCCTGGGCCACCTCTCCTATGGCTGCTTCTGATCCAAAATCTTAAGGGATAGAAGACGGTTCCCTCCAAAGAAACTGCCCATCCAAGGAGCATGTATGAAATTCGCAAGTACATATGTCACTTTCAGAAGTCTTAGTCTAAAGCCTTGCCTCTTGAGGCCTTTTCTACAAAATCCCGTGAGCAAGTTTGTTTTATGATACCTTCACTGGCTCGGATTTAGGGTGGGGGAGATTTGCAAAGAGCAGCTCCTGTCTAGAGGGAAAAATACTGTATGTAGTGGATGACTGAGCCGAACCGTATTTGCTCATGGTTCAGTTCAGTGCAGCCAGCATTCATAAGGCACCAGTTAAGACTAAGGGTCTGGTCTAGATGTCAGGACAAATCTGTGGCACAGTTCCTTCCTCAAGGACAATCTAATGACAGAAGAAAAGTGTGTATGTTTTTTGTTTTTTTTTTTTTTTTTTTGAGACAGAGTCTTGCTCACTCTGTTGTCCATGCTAGAATGCAGTGATGCAATCTCGGCTCACTGTAACCTCCGCCTCTTGAGTTCAAGAGAGATTCTCCTGCCTCAGCCTCCTGAGTAGCTGGGACTACAGGCATGTGCCACCACTCTCGGCTAATCTTCGTATTTTTAGTAGAGACGGGGTTTCACCATGTTGGCCAGGCTGGTATTGAACTCCTGACCTCAGGTGATAGGCCTGTCTCGGCCTCCCAAAGTGCTGGGATTACAGCCGTGAGCCACTGCACGCCTGGCTGTGTATACTTCTTTCATGCCATGCAAACATAACAGTTATAACAAGTATGAAAAAGCACTATACAAGCATCAGACAGATTAATTGTAACTGAGGGAACTGAGACGTTTTCACAGAAGAGAGGGCATTTGAACTGATTCTTAGAAACTGTCCGGGAGAAAGAGGGATGAATAGGTGGCATACAGGGAATTTTAGGGCAGTGAAGCTATTCTTTATGATACTGCCATGATGGATATAGGACATTATGCATTTGTCAAAAACCCATTGAACTGTACACCACAAAGCATAAACCCTAATGCAAACTATAGACTTTTGTTAATAGTAGTACCACAATATTGGTTCATCAATTATAACACTGGGGTGTACCAGTGTTATAACTGTGTATATCGTGTAGCCCACCAGTGCAAGATGTTAATAGGAGAAACTGTTGGGGGAGGGAATATATGGGAATTCTGTCCTTGCTGCAAAATTTTTCTGTAAACCTAAAACTGCTCTTAAAAAAATAAAGTCTATTAAAAACAGGTGACTGCTTTTACAGGGCATACATGATGTATGAGGAATGAGCTTTGGGGGTAAGAGCAAAGGCACAGGGGAGATGACCAGGAGCACAGTGTGGTTGAGGTGAAGACCACCTGGGCTAGAGGAGGAGGAGGCTGGAAAGGCCAACCCAGATCTGTGGAGGAAGGCTGGCTGGCTAAGAAGAGGAGATTCAATTTCTTGGCAGTGAGAGCCAGTGAAGGTGTTTTAGCTCAAAAGTGACATGATTAAATTGTGGTTTGGGTCTCCAGGTTTTATGCGTTAGATCTTAACAAATTTATAGTATTGCAGGAGGGTGTTGGGTTTTTTAATTATTTTTAGAAACAGGGTCTCACTGTGTTGCCCAGATTGGAGTGCAGTGGTGTGATCATAGTTAACTGTAACCTGCAAGCCCTGGCTTCAAGCAGTTCTCCTGCCTCAGCCTCCCAGCGTGCTGGGATTATGGGCATGAGCCACTGCTCAGCCTTGAATTGGCGTTTCTGACATTCCATCCCAGTTTCTGAATGAGTCCCATCTTGGCGATGTCTCCAGCAAGCCTTTTTTTTGTTTTTTTTTTTTTGAGGGCCTTGATTCAGCACAGCTCTGGATGCATTGGCCCACTGGGTAATTTAAATATTTCTATCCCCATGATAATGCAAACTACTGAATAAATAAATAATAAGATTTTTTAAAGGCTTCCTGTGTGCCGGTTTCTAGGGTAGGCACTTTATATGTACTAACTCATTTAATTCTCATAACAAGCCTGTGAGGTACTATAAAACCCTCATTTTGGCCAGGCACAGTGGCTCATACTTATAATCCCAGCACTTTGGGAGGCCAAGGCAGGCTCGAGTCCATGAGTTTGAGACCAGCCTGGCCAACATGGTGAAACCCGTCTCTACTAAAATTACAAAAATTAGCCAGGGGTGGTGGCATGTGCCTTAAGTCCCAGCTACTTGGGTGACTGAGGCAGGAGAATCGCTTGAACCTGGGAGGCAGAGGTTGCAGTGAGCAAGATCGTAAACTGCACTCCAGCTTGGGCAATAGAGCAAGACTCTTAAAAAAAAAAAAAAAAAAAAAAAAAAAAAAACCTTATTTTACAGACAACAAAACCAAGGCACTGAGGAGTTAAGTAGCTTGCCCAAAATCACACACAATTATTTAGTGGCTGAGCCAACAAGACATGAGGAAAGGTTAAAACAAAAGATTTCAGCTCTAACTCAGCTACATGTGCTACAACCCAATTAATGCTGCTAACACACTATTGTGGGGTCTTAATCTCCATGACCTTATTTATAAAGCACTCCCACTTGAAGGCACTGAGCTGGCATGCCAGACATGGTTACCTGCGTGCACTGCATTTCAAAATACCTTGCTGATGGCCCAATCCAGAACCTCACCATCTCACACCCCAGGTCATGCACAAGATGCCCATTCTCCATTTTTCCTTCCACAAATAATCCATCTTGTTCAAAACACACCATGTCCCTTCCCTAACCAAAATATGTTTGCTTCCTCCTTCCTTCCACATTCAACCTAAACTCCTCTGACTAGCGTTCAACCTTATCATCTCGCACCATTCACTTTCAACTGTGGTCTGCAGTCTCCTCATTAAACTGTGAACATGCTGTGCTCATTTCTGACTCTCTGCTTTGGTTCCTGTTTATTTGCTGACCTGGAATCCCTACCTTGCTGACTTGCTGACCTCTCACTAACCCCTCTCCATTGAACAAGCCTCAGTCAAGTCTCTGCCTCCTCCAGAGGCCTTCTCTGATCGCTCCTGCTGCTATGGACACTGGTGTGCCCCCACCCCTACCTCCCCTTCCCTAAAGGCCTGCAGCACCTGGCTTTCCCTTTGATGACATACATTCTTGTGTCTTGTGTGATTGCTTCTTGGCTATAAATCCTGTCTCTCCAACCGCAGTGTGGGTCCTTAAGCAAGGATCACCTCCTTAACCCCCTCCCCCCGCTGCTAAGTGTTATGCTCACAGTGGGCACTAAATACTCTGATTAATCTGCACAGGATCATAAAAGCCCATATAGATCACCAGAAATTGTCAGCTGAAATTTACAAAAATCCCATAAAGTTTATGGTAGCACACTTGGCCCTGAGATGGTAAAAATATAAAACAGAGGGACAATCGGGT